ATTTGTGAGTACACTCACATTTCTACATGCATGAAGGAGGCTGAAAAAACATGCAAATACATACTACCTTTCATGAAAGAAAGATGACTTAGAGGGTAAAACCAAGAGTCCAAAGGGTGAAACCACCATAAAGAATTACTCCCAGACTTTGAAAGAGGATCTGCAAGCCTGTAACCAAGTGGATTTCAGAATTTGCTACTGACCAGTAACTTCTGTATACCATCTTTTCTTTTTCTACCTGTTGGAACAGAAGCTTCTGTAGCAATTGTCCTATATGCCCTACCACTTTATATTGGTTATTGTAGGAGAAGAACATATAATTTTTTCTTTATTCCACTTCAGATTGATGAGTATGTACTTAAGTAGCTGTATAAGAGTAATTATACCCAAGAAACTTCATCTGCCCCTCTATTTAGAGGAAAACAGTCTAAACTTTCTTTTTGGTACTGGGATTGAACTCACAGGCACTGGGCCACTGAGCCACATCCCCAGCACAATTTTGTATTTTATTTAGAGACAGGGCCTCACTGAGTTGCTGAGCACCTCGCCATTGCTGAGACTGGCTTTGAACTCACAATTCTATCTCAGCCTTCTGAATTGCTGTGATTACAGGCATGCACCACTGTACCCAGCAAGAGTATAAACTTTTTTGAGTTAATACTATAATGGAGTAACATCTTGAGGCCATAAGACTGGTGAGTTTATTTTATATGTGGGAGAACTATAAATAATTTGTGGACAGTGATGGTTTTAAATACATCCAAAAATACTTGCTGCTGTTAAAAAAATACCACAAACTTAGTGACTTAAACAACACAAATTTGTTATCTTAGCATTTATGGAGGTCAGAAGTTCAAAACTGGTCCTACAGGGCTAATGTCAAAAGCTGCAATCCTTCTAGAGGCTGTAGAGGAGTATTCCTTATCTTTTCCAACTTCTACAGGCTTCCTGCATGCCTTGACTTCTGGCCATATCACTCTGACCTGCTTTTATCATCACATCTTCTATGCTGATTCTTTTACTCTGACCCATAAGGACCTTTACGATTACTTTGAACCTACTTAGACAATCCAAGATAATCTCCTTATCTCAAGATCATTAATTACATCAATAAAGTTCTTTATTCCATGCATGGATTCTGGGGGTTAGGAAGTGTATACCACTAGAGTACAATGATTCTGTCCACAGTGTTCCTCCTTCTAGAGGTAGCATCTATTCCCATCCCCTTAAAGGTTGGTTGGTAGCAAGTTACTTATAATGGAGTACATCAAAAGTGATGGGGTGACTCTTATAAAAAGTAAATTATGACTTAAAAACTAAGTCATAAAAAGATTGTGGCTTCCTCCCTGCTCTCCTTTGGATATTCACTCTCAGAGAAAACAGAGTGAACATGTCATGCAAACACCCAAGTGTTCCTATGAAGATATCCAACCACCATTTGGATATTGGCCTATTGCCAATAGCCAGCATGGAAATGATGCCTGCTGCCAACAGCCATCAGAGTAAACCATCTTAGAAAAGTATTCTCCAGCCCTTTTGAGACTTCAGTTGACTTGCAGTCCTAGTCAACAGTTTGATCTCAGCCTCATGAGAGCTTCTGAGTCAGAACTACCTAACTAAGCCATCACTGAGTTCCTGACTACAGAAGCTACATAACAATGTTTGTTAAATTGGAGGTAATGCTGTTTGCAATGCAGCAATAGATAGATAACTGATACAATTCCCTAAGTCACATCTTGCTCCATCATGATTGCTTAAGTTCTAGCTATTAGCTATAAATTCCACCTTCAGGAAGAAGGAAAGGGAGAATAAAGCCATGTTTCTGCCCTTAAATGGCATTATTGGAAGTTTCATGCACCTCTTCCACTTAAATCTCATTGTCTATGAGCTGGATGTGGCACATCGAGCTGCAAGAGAGACCTAGAAGGAGAAAACATATACTGGGCTACTTATCAATCTTTGTCACAGTGGTGATTGTAAGAATCAGGAAAAGCAAAGTCCAGCCTACACCCATGAACATTTTTCTTTTTCTTTTTCTTAACTAGATATTTCCATTGGCCATCAAAGCAATAGTTACCCACCCATTACTATGACCTCTCCAAAGAATCATGCCAATTATGCATGAGTCACTGGAAAGCCCAGCTAACACATTAGGTAAAACACAATTAATTGTGAAACTTTTTCCTTACAGAGTTTTTTTCAGGGACAATACTAAAGAATAATTTACAATGGACGTATTATGTAAAGGCTCTTAAATTTTCTAAGTGCTGCTTTCTGTATGCATTGTCAGAAAACACAGAACTGACGAAAAGTGCTTCCTTTATGCAAGAGGTTGGAGGAATTTCACAATGACATTAACAGCTTCAAGGACGGCAAACACAATCCTGACCTCTCAATCTCCCTTCGTCATACAAACTGTTCTTAGGAAGCCACATCGAGTAGAGTTTTGAGTTTTTATTTACTGATATAGTTAACCCTAATCACAAACATCTAAGACTGTCTTCTTTGCATGTATTAGCCAAATTAAACAAATTAGGAATATATATTTTCAGAAATATACTGTATTAAAAATCAAATAGAAATTATTTTAAATGGCTTAACTTGCAAAGCATATATTATCATTCCGTTGTATCAGTGTGAAAACTGACTGCTCTGTATTTACCAATCTGCTTGTAATTGGCCCCAATGGTCATTAGATGGCTCTATTACTGTAGAGTTCAGATAACAGAGGCCCAGAGCTAAAGTATTACAAATGTGTTTGACATGCAAGAGTCAGGAAAAGCAGAGTCCAGCTAACATCCTTGCACATCTTTCTTTTTTCTCATAAGGTCTCCACTTCCATCCATTTAGTTGCCTGTGACTAAGATATAAATAAAAAAATCTCACAAGATTTCAACATAAAAGGATTAGGTCTATATTCATATGATCTTTATAATGTTGTTCATTGTGTTACTTTCAAAATGTATATTATGTAAGAAATTTAAGAATCAAAGGCAAAAGTGATGGGAGTGTTTTGTAAAGTTGTTCGATCCCACACTGTCAGTGATCAATAAATTGTAAATAGGAGAAATGAAGTTATAAATTCTACCATCTTATTTTGGCATCCTATAGGATGATAATGTGTTTTTTTTTAATTTTTATTGTTGGTTGTTCAAAACATTACATAGTTCTTGACATATCATATTTCACACTTTGATTCAAGTGGGTTATGAACTCCCATTTTTACCCTGTATACAGATTGCAGAATCACATCGGTTACACATCCACTGATTTACATATTGCCATACTAGTGTCTGTTGTATTCTGCTTCCTTTCCTATCCTCTACTATCCCCCCTCCCCTCCCCTCCCCTCTTCTCTCTCTACCCCATAGGATGATAATGTTAATAATTAGATTTTAATCCCAACTCTTGTGAATAAATTCTGTGATAGCCTGCAGTTTGATACACAAAAGAAGTTTTCTTAGGTGCCTTCCAAGTATGCTGTTAGTTTTTGTTGTTACAAGATTCCAATCTATTACCTCTTTTAGTTTTTTCATGGAAATATGTGGCTTTGAATGAACTCAAGAAGCCAAAATCACTTAACTTGAAAAATGGATCAAAAGTAGAATTTCATTTTGTGTGGGTGGATATTTGGTTTTCTGAATCAACCAGCCAAGGTATTTTCTTAACAGTATAGTGACTGAGCTTTCTATAACCTTCTTTCTAGATCTGTTCTCAAACATAAGCATGTAGCTGAATCATTAAAACACAGATTGCCTAGTCCCACATCCAGATTTTCTGATTTAGTACAGCCATGAGCTGCATACCACATCTTGGTCAATGACCAACAGTATATATGACAGTGGTTCCATAAGATTATAACAGAGCTAAAAAATTCCTGCCACCTAGTGACATCATAACCATAATAATGTTGTAGAATAACACATTAGTTATGTGTAAACAAATCTAATATACTGCCAAAGTAGCACATAGATTATTAAGTACATACTCCGTATTAGGTACAAAACACTTAATGATGATAAAGTACTGTTACTAGTTAATGTATCAACTCTGTATTTTAGAGTATATTCCTACATTGACTGTAAAATAGCGTGCCATGTTACATTGGTAGTAGCCTCATATATCTTGTATTTACTATGTGTCCTTTTTTTTGGTACCAGGGATGATTGAACCCAGGGACACGTAACCACTGAGCCACATCCCCAGCCCTTTTTAGCTTTTGGGACCAGGTCTTGTTGAATTGCTTAAAGCCTCACTAAATTGCTGAGGTTGGCTTTGAACCTGCGATCCTCCTGCCTCAGCCCCCTGAGCTGCTGGGATTACAGGAGTGCACCACCACACCTGGCTCAATATTCATGTCTCACAAGTTTCCAGGTGATACTGATGTGGCTGGTCCTGGGACCACACTTTGACACCCAATACTTGAAGTAAAATTTGGACATGTAAATAGCCCTATAAATAATTTGCCATCAAGCCTTTATCATTCATGTTTCCCACAAAGGAAGCATGACAGTCTGTTCTGTTGAGGTTGTTGAGGTTGAGGTTGTTGCACAACTTCCTAAATAATGTCAATTAAAAAAAAAAACTCAAAACTGTTAGAACAAACTCTTAGTAATAGCCTATTCATTTTGAAAATATTATTGTCTAAAGAAAAGCTCTGGGGGCTGGGGATGTGGCTTAAGCGGTAGCGTGCTCGCATGGCATGCGTGCGGCCTGGATTCGATCCTCAGCACCACATACAAAGATGTTGTGTCCGCCAAAAACTAGAAAATAAATATTAAAAATTTCTCTCTCTCTCTCTCTAAAAAAAAGAAAAAGAAAAGAAAAGAAAAGCTCTGGGTCCTGACGGAAACTTCAGTTTACATAGTAGTCGTCATTCTGTTACACTTGGAAGCATGCTTACTCTAAAATAATCATTTGTGAGGCAATGACACTTATTCTTTTTTAACCAGAGGAAACAGAAATAACAACACAGGAAGCATTGGACAGCCTTAGGCCAGTTCTTTTTGGAAAACACATTTAATTCACTGTTGCACAACTCAGAGGAGGTGGTGAGGAAGTCAGGAAGGCACTTAAGTAATTTCAGGAAACTTAACAAACAGAAGTGTCTGGACAGTCTAGGAATGACTGAGAGGCAAAGAACTGACTCCTGATACAGCAACTTGTCAGGAATGTTCAGTTTTCCAACTCTTGTCCACAGACCCTGAGACTGGGCAAAAAATTACCCCCAAAAGAGCTGGGTACAACCCCTTTGCACTATATTGTCTGATGCCAGAATACTATTTAGATGTTCACTCGATGCCAAAACTAACCTCTAGTCTCCATCTGGCAAATAAGCAACACTGGTCTTCAAGGCCTACAAGCCTTGTCCCAGAAGCTCACACAAGAGTTCACAATATTTTTCATCCTTGGGATACACTGCCTTCCTCCTTCCACAGGGTTTCTTCATGTAAACCATCCTATCTAAGGAAAATGTCCCACTATTACTCTCATAAAATCTGTCTTGATAGCCAAAGGTTAGCACAATTAACTTCAGAACTTCTTGGATTTGTGATCATCCTTCTCCTTCCCATATTTGTCCCTCTACGTATTCCCATCTCTTACTGTGAGGGTAATCTACCAGTGAGAAAGGGCTCAGTCATCAGCCTCATTTGTAATTTCTCAGTGTTAACATCTGGATCAGCTACTTCTTATTGATATGCAAAATAACTAAGAAATAATAACTAAGTGAAACTTAAGTGCTACATCAGGAGACATACCTGCTAACAAAAGTTGGAGAAAGGGTTCTGAGATAAGATAGGATGAGGATGAGATTCTCATTGAGAAGAATGATAGGGATTAACATCTGCTCTTTCCAAAGCCAGGGCTCTCAGATCTTCCAACTAAAAAGCAAACTCTAGCAAAATCCCTCAGTTTTGATGCTGTTGTTGTTGTTTGTTTGTTTGTTTGTTTTGCTGTGCTTGGATTCAAATCCAGGGTCTCACACATGCTAGACAAGGGCTCTACCACTGAACTGCACCCCAGTCCCATCCCACCCCCATCTTGACTTCATGTTTAATACCATTAAGATTCTGGCATCTCAGAATGTTGAATTGGGCCTTCATGGTAGGCTTGTCCAAATCCATACTTTTTACTACTAGAGAACTGAGTCCTGGGGAGAAGAAAGTGGCTTGCCCTAATTAGCATTAAAGATTTCTTAGCTGCGGCACTGAATACAGATTTTCTGCTTATAAATCTTTACCCTTTTCTAGGGTGCTAAGACCAGTTTTTAATGTGGGATAAAAGTCAACACCAATGGAGCAACTGCTTTTGCTGGGACGAAAGAACAGTCCTTCTCCCTCAGGAAAGGTCCAGCGTGTCCATACATCTATTCCCACAGGCTCCCAAGAATTGAGGACCCCTTATAGACCAGCGACTGGGCAGCAAATTCCTATGAATGACGCCAAATGGGTGTGTCTGCTTCCCACTCATGTCTGCATGGCTTTTTATACTTTCCTTCTTTGTCATCAAATAAAATTACAAATATAAAGTAAGTATGTTTATATACATGTCCCTTTAGAGTAAGCAAACCTCATCATGGTTTCAGGTACTCCCACGAACAAAATAAAATAAGATTGCACTTGTGGCCTCTCAGATTAAAGACTGAGTTAAAATGAGGCTCTCCTTCCTGTAGGAATAGAGGCCACACATGCTGATACAATTGGCCCATCATGCCATCCTGGCACTTAGGTTCAACAGACTCATGGGAATGACTCCTTCACAAGACACCCATGAGGTAGGTAAATGCAGCCACCCCTGTGGGTGGATGTAGCACACAGAGGCCCGGGCTTAGGTTGTGGAGGTGCCTCGGACGTGGAGCAGAGGTCTGAAGGGGAGGACCTCTGGTGCTCACCATAGCACCCGCCATTGGTCATGAGAGAAGTCTCCAGTACATAGCAAATATCTGCAACAGCAAGGGTGTGGAAATGGGAGGAAAAGAGAAGGTGCTGGTCTAAGGATGACACTTCTGAACAAACCTCCGGGGTAGAGTTGCCAGAGAGGCAAATCTAAAGGGTCGTGAGTATGAACTGGGGAAAGCTGGCACATCCCCCATGCCATGCAGGACCCTGAGTGGCCCTGCCTTCCTCACTCTCATCAGGTCAATGTATATTAGGTGGCAAGGACTTCCCTTTCAAGAGAACCACAGCTGATCCAGGTGGTGGCAGAAGGCACAGGAAGCTCTCCCCTGACTCTCCCTTCAGCCTGAGGGAAATGTAAGGACACAGAGACACAGGTGACAAAACCGGGCTGCATGGCCCAGCAGTTCCTGAGAGTCAGACCTAATGCCATAAAATTACAAACTCAGGACAGAGCCAGGGCTTAGCATCCCTTTCTCTGAAATGAGAAGCCCCAGCCCTGCCCTTTTCTTTAGGGAGAATGGCCTACTAAGGAGAGCTGGCTTCTCACTGAGGTAAAGAAGAACACCTGCTCAGCTCCACATTACCCTCAAGCTAAGCAGGACACATCCCTGCAGGAGGCATCTGAGAACAAAGGCCGAGGAGCTGTGCTCTGGGAACACATCACACATTTTAAATTAAACATTTTCCCACGTGTAACACACACACACACACACAAATACTGACATTCTCCCAGCCCACCCCACTCCAAGCCCCAAATCCCACCCCACAAATACTGTCCTCTGTAAACATGATGGCAGAGACACCCACAATCCTGGCATAGTCTGAAAATGATCTGATGGTGACGTCTTGTCATTAAGTGCCCCATAGGTGATATTGGTGAAGGTAGACGTGGCCTCTTTATACAGCGGGTTGTTGGCCTGTAGAGAGAACAGGAGAGTGAGTGTCTCACAGTCAGCTCCGGGGTCCTCTCATGTCCCAAAGTCTTCGATTTCTCCTGAGAGGTTTGCCCAAGACACCCTTCTCTGACCTAGACTGGATGAAACAGGCTGGTGCTCATTTTACTCACACTTTCACTTTTAGAATGGGAATGGGCAGGAAATGAGAGGAGGAAAAATGATGTGGCCATCTTGTGGCTGTTTTTAAAGGGTTAAAATCAGTCCAGCACTTTTTTTTTTTTTTTGGAGGCCCATCATTCTTTGACAATCCCAAAACATTCTAGAATAGCTTTCACCAAATCTGTCCTGTTTTCTCCTCTCGCCCTACTCTTTCTTTTGTTTTTCTCCCCTTTTTCTTTTGCTGTGACAGTGCCAGCCAATGTGAGGCAGAGAGAGAAATGTAGTAGTTGATGGGTGAAGGTCAGAACACAGAGGACTGCTTCGGCTAAAATAATTCTTAATTTGTTTTCATCTCTTCAATGATTACCTACAAAACTGTCATATTATCAGGGAAAAATAAGCCCCTCTTCTCAAATTATTTTCCAACAAAAAAATGACAAAACCTATGAAGTAAGGCAATTTTTTCTCTTTTTTTTTTTCTTTCCCCTTTGGTATTAGAAATTGAACTCAGAGACACCTTACAACTGAGCTACATCTCAGCCCTTTTTATTTCTTATTTTGAAACAGGGTGTCACTAAGTTGTTGAGGGTCTGTCACTAAATTGTTAAGGCTGACCTCAAACTTGTGATCCTCCTGCTTCAGCCTCCTGATTGCTAGGATTATAGGTGCACACCACTGCACCTGGCTAAATAGTTCTTAATGGTAACTGCAAGAAGCCCAGAACATTCTTCTGTCCTTTGGAGACTCAGCATGCTCTATATGCTCTTAACAGAAACATCCAAGGTTTTTGGAACTATTTGGTACAAAGTCCTGGGATCACCACCAAATGGGAACAAACTTTTGACCTAACCCTGGACATTCAAGGAGTAAAATGTCATGTAAAAGGTCCCGAAAATAGTTAAAATATGGAAGATTAGCCAAAGGAGAATACAGTAAAATTAGTATATAAAAAGTTCTCAATAAATGCTTATTTGATTGGCTTAAATCAAGATAAACAACAGGGACCATAAGAGTCTGATTTGGAAACTACCATTTCATCATTTGGGGGCAAAGAAGAGAATGAGGTAGATTGATGTCCTGCCACTATTCTTAAGTGGCTGACCCCAAAAGGAAGTCCTATAGTTACCTAATTCCCTCCCACAATCAGACAAGCACTGAACTCCCTTGCACTCAGTTCTCTTACTTATAAAATGGGAACACTAATACTCCCCACCACAAAGGTTGTTTCAGGGATGAAATAAGCTAATATATAAAAAAGCATTTAGAACAGTTCCTGGCACATGGCAAACCCTCAGTCAATGTTAGCTATTCTATTTTTTTCTATTTGTTTTTAATGCTTTGGACTTCAATACTATATAATGTATTATTGTTCTCAATATAGGTTTGTCTTGTCTCCCTCAATTGAAGAGTAAATTTCTTTTCCATTTCTTTACACGGCTGGAGCAGAGCTGGGTCCTATTTGTTCTGTCAGTACTCAAGACATGGCCCATGGTCACCGTGTGGTAGAGGATCCGGTAGTTTTCAGGAAGCTTAAAGACAACAGTGAGACCATCTCCCAGTTTCCAGAACAGAGGATAATCCGAAAACTGCAGTACTGGATGACCCTGGCCACTCTGAACAGCTGCTGTTCCCACTTCAGGTTCTCGAACCAAAGACTCAAGAAAATGCCCAGCCCAACCCAGCCTCTTACTGTGTCCCATTTTGCTCTGGCTCGTTCTTCCTCAAATTTAGCAAACTCTTTCCGGTCGTGGATGGTGATGAGAAGCTTCCAGATGAGCAGAGTAGCAAGGCCGATGAGCAGAATAGCCCCCATCACTGACAGCAGGACCACAAGGATGTCCGGACCCTTGGGACACTCTGCAAGGAAGAAGCAGAGAGCAGGAATCACTTGAACTGGCCATGAATGTAAGACCTTGAGTGTTACTTCAGAGGAACAATGCACTGGAAACGCCTCTGAAGTAAACAGGACAATTTTAAAACAAATTTATTGTTTGTTTGTTTGTCTTTAAAGGAGCAATCTTTAGGGGGGGGGGAATAAGCTGTCCTGAGTGGTTTAAATCTGAGCTCTCAAGCTGGTCACTCCTGCACAAAATCTAGACCACCTGATATGAGTTAACCAACTGGTTTTTTTTGTTGTTTGTTTGTTTTGTTTTTAATTGATTCTGCTGGGTTTGGTGGCCCATGCCTATATTCCCAGCAGAATCAGGAGGCTGAGGCAGGAGATTGTGAGTTCAAAGCCAGCCTCAGCAACTTAGTGAGGCCCTAAGCCACTCAGCAAGATCCTGTCTTTAAGTAAAATACAAAAAGGTCTGGGGATGTGGCTCGGTAGTTAAGTGCCCCTGAGTTCAATCCCTAGTACAAAAAAAAAAAATCGATTTGGCCACTATGGGTGTAGCCCAGTGGTAGAGTACTCCACAAGGCCCTGGATTCTATCCCCAGGCCCACACACAACAAAAAGAGAAAAAAAAAATCAAAAGATTTGGAAACTCTAGAACAATATCCCTATGAAGTGGCCACCAACTACAGCTGAGAGCAGTTGCTCCTTTTAGCTGGGACACAGTGTTTTCTATTTGTGAGAGTCCTCACCACTCTCCCATTTCTCCCCTAAACAGAGGCAAAGTGTGCCACTATGCACTCTGGATTTAAATCCTGGCTTAACACACTGTACTTTGTGACATTCAGTAACTAATTTTTCTGGATGTCTGTTTTCTATTTTCTTTGTCTTTAAAATGGAGAAAGTATTCACACTCCCTTTTAGGGGTGGGTGGGTGGGGTGCTAGGGACTGAACCCAGGGCCTTGCACAGGACAGGCAAGTGCTCTATCAAAAAACTACACCCCCAACCCTCCAAACTCAATTTTAAAAATTGCAAAGAGTAATAATTAAATGAAATATATTTAAAGAACTGAAAGCAATGCCTGGCTCACAATAAACATTAGGGACCATTATTACCAGTGTTCTTCTTATACCCAGTGTTTTTATTTATTTGCTAACTGAGCCCCGGTAGACATTAGTGTCTGTTAATTGTGGTTTAGATATTTATATCCTTAAGGGCGATGAACCTTTTTAGCATGCTTAGAGACCAGGAAGCCTGCCAGCCATGATAATCTTAGAGGTTCTTTCTCAAAATATTTAGTCATCCAGAATCCTACCCCATTGTAAGCTGACTTCCTGTTCAGCCCCAGTCAATAACCAAAGCAGACAGAGGTCCGTCATCCCTCTGAGGGTCAGCTGATTATCCTCTGAAGATCTCTGCTCCCATAAACTTCAGGTGTCTGACAAATGACCTCACTCTGGAACCTCAAGTGTTATGAAACCAGGTGTTTGTATGTATGGGTACTGATGAGTCTGGAGAGGAAGTCACACCCACTTTCCACACTGTCTCCCACCTTCTTCTCTAAACATACACTCTATGCTCACCACACATTACACAAACACAACCACCACCACAAACCAAGTTGGCCCTTTTCCAAACCACCAAATTACACCCTGTCTATAATTAAAGGAGTGCCTGGAGAGAGGCTGCGAAGTTCCAGCGTCTGAATTCCCAGGAGTGAAGGGCCCCAGTTTTTCTGGGAAAAGCAATTATGAATTCTCTGGAAGAATGGAGTAGGGCTGACCTTCAAACCCCAAGGTGAAATCTCTTCCTTCTGCATGTTAGTCTGGGCAGGACAGGTAGAATCCCAGGAGGTATTTAGGTGAGAACAATCTGTTACCCATATGTCCCAACAGGGGCAGGTGGCTTCCCAGAAGCAGAAGACAAGATCAGGTGGTCTCTGAAAGGCACCCCCAGCTGCAGCAACAGCCTCAGAGTGACCCAAGGTCAGAGGAGTCTGGGTAGGGTTGGCAGATTTAACAAACAAAATTATAGGAAGCCCAGATAAATTTTATTTTCAGATAAACAAGGAGTTACTTTTAAGTGTAAGTATGTACCAAACAGTGCCTGGAACATACTGTATTTTATCTGGAGACTATCTGGGAATGAATAGGCCCCAGCTCAGGATCCCATTCCACATGGCCATTCCCCACATGGGCAATGTCTAACCATGTGACATACTGTTTTTACTGCCCTGCCAGGGCTCAGCCCTTCAAAGAGAGCATCTGTGAGGCCATGAGAAAGAGATATCTCCTACAATCCTCTGGGAACCCAGCTGCTACAATCTCCCCAAAGTTGGAGTCCCTAGAAATAATTGGGGCTGGGGCTAAGAGGAGAAGCAGAGCCAGGACAAAGAGAGAGGAAATGAGGGGCCCATATTCTTTTTATTTTACTTAATTTTTTTTGCTCTTTTTAGATATACATGACAATAGAGTTTATTTTGACATATTATACTAGGGTCCCTTATCCTAACGTGGAGGAGTGGGTCTCCTGACAAGGCACCAAGGTTACCATCATCTCTATTCCCCACAACCTGAGGCAATAGATTGCTGTCTCAAAATCCCAAGCCAAATGATTTGGATAAATTATTCAGCAAAAGTGCCAGCAAAGACAGGTGAAGCAAAGAAATGAGGTAATGTTAGACCCAAAAGCAAAGACACAGTGCCCTTCTGAAATTAGTAGGGACAAAATTGCAGATAGGGTGGGTGGGAAGGCGTGAGGAAATCGTGGTCAAACCAGTCCACCCCTGCTGGCTCATGGACACATCCCCAGACTCTCCTCTATCCTTCCTCATGTCAACTACCCTTGGAGTCGCCAAATAAAATTAAGGTTATGCCCTTTCTTGACCTTCCTTTTCCCATATAAAGGGCAAAAGCTCTGGGAAGGGCTAGTGGACAACATTCCAGACAGGGCACCATGCACTCCTCCACCCATGGACATAGCAACACCCTCGGTGACGTTTATGTGGCAGCTCTTTCCTAAGGAAGGGCGACCTGGGGCAGCTCCTCCAGACTTTCCTGCCTCCTTTTTCAAACCACCTCATTTTCTTCCCTCCCCAAGCAGCCAAAATTCTGGTTAGCAGATATCAAGATGTACATACACTCACTTTTCCTCTAGGAATAATCAGACCTAGAAAATTGCCGCAGTCTGGCTGGGCACAAATCACGAGCCACTGAAGCAGGAACAAACTTTATTTTTAAACTGCAGGAAAACACTTCACACAGCTCCCGGGGAATCCTCCCGAAGGCCACGAGGCTTGTCCAGGAACCCCCAGCCGGAAATATCTCTCCCGGAAATCCCTCCTCCTGCCCTTCCCCAACCAATGGGAACTCTCGAGGAATCCCCGGAAATCCCCACGAGAACTCCAAAATAGTGCGAGAACTCAAAAGTTGCGGCACAGGCGGATAGTAATGCCTTGCCTGTCAATCAATACCGTTGGCAAAATGCCAGGGGCCATACAGACTCGGCTGTGGCTCTCAGCAGAAAATCATTCAAAACCTCTTTATTAACTAACTTCTTGGTAGATGTACAGGGATATAGCAATAGATACGACAGACATGGTTCGTGTATCCGCACAGCATATGATCTGAGCAGATGAGCTGATTAAAGAAGCAATTTAATTCTAGTGAAATGAAGGTCCTTCTAAGGAAGCACAGATGCTATGCGAGTCAAACAGAAGAACCAAACCTAGTCAGCAGTATGGAGGCCAGGGGAGGACTGAGAAGGCTTCTTGGGGGAATTGATGAGCCTAAATCAAGAGGCACTCAAATGTTGGGGTGTAGCCCAATTGCCAGGAACACTAACAGCACAGAGGTGTGGTTTGTGGAAGTAAGACAGGGCTCAGGACTGTTCTTTGTTGCTGGGGATTGAACCCAAAGTTTCACACATGCTAGGTAAGTACTTTATTACTAAGTTATGACCCCAGCACTGGGTTTTTTTTTTTAAACAGGAAAATATGCTAAAGTTTGAGAACCCATGAGCCAAATGCAACTATCAACTCTCTCTGTAAATACAGCCATGACCACTTCACAGAATAAATATGAATGGCCAATAAATATATGAAAAAATGTCCAACATCTCCAGCAATTAGAGAAATACAAATTAAAACTACACCGAGATTCCATCTCACTCCAGTCAGAATGACAACAATCAAGAATATAAGTAATAATAAATGTTGGTGAGGATGTGGGGGAAATGCACACTCATACATTGCTGGTGGGATTGAAAATTGGTGCAACCGATAGGAAGGGCAGCAGAATACAATAGACACTAGTATGGCTGTATGTATAAACGTGGCTGTAAAACCAATGTGATACTGTAATCTGTACATGTGGAAAAATAAGAATTCATACCCCATTTGAATCAAATGTATGATATGTCAAGGTCATTGTAATGTTTTGAGCAACTGATAAAAAAAATTTTAAAAAAAGAAAATCGGTGCAACCACTCTGGAAAGCATCCTCAGAAAACCTGGAATAGAACCACCATTAGACCCAGTTATCCCACTCGTCAGTACATACCCAAAGGAGTTCAAAGCAACATACTACAGTGACACAGTCACATCAATGTTTATAGCAGCCCAATTCACAATACCTATCCTATTGAACCAACCTTCATGCCCTTCAACAGATGAATGAATAAAGAAAATATGGTATATATACACAATGGACTACTACTCAGCCATAAAAAAAGAATGACTTTATGACTTTTGCCATACATCTGGAGACTATCATGCTAAGTGAAACAAGCCAATCTCCAAAAACCAAAGGTCAAAAATTCTCTCTGATATGTGGATGCTAATACACAACAGGGGGTGAAGGGAAGAATAGAATTTCATTGGATTAGACAAAGGGGAATGAAGGGAAGGGAGAAGGATAAGAATAGGAAGGACAGTAGAATGAATTAGACGTAACTTTCCTATGTTCATATATGAATACACCATCAGTGAAACTTCATTCTTGTGGCACAACCACAAGAATGGGATCCTAATTAATATAAATTATGTACTCTATGAATGTACAATATGTCAAAATACACTCTACTATCATGTATAACTAAAAAGAACAAATAAAAAAATAAAAATATATAGCCATTGTCCACAAGTTTACAGAATATCTATGGCTGCTTTCCTGCTATAATAGCAGGACTGAGTAGCCACAGCAGAGACCATATGGCCCTTGAAACCTAAAATATTTTGGTCTTTTGCAGGAAAAGAAAAATTCTGGTCCTTTGTCTAAAAGATGATTTGAAGAAATTCCTACAGCTATGAATGTCAGGATACCAGCTGATTCAAGTTCAGCCTTCCAAGGTTGTTCCTTCGTTCTAGTGTTTGCCCAGCCTCCACCATTAACAGTCCTATCCCACTGCAATGACGTTATTGATTTCCATGCCTGTCTCCCCCATGGCCTGCGAGTACCACATCTGCCTTATTTACTGTTAGTTTTAGCACCTAGCATAGTATTCAGTATATAGTAAGTATTCCAAATTATTTTCTAATGATTCATATCTTAATCTGTTGTTTAAGGGCAAAGAAGGTATATGGTTTGGATATGCCTTGAGTGTGTCCCTGAAGCACTCATGTGCTAAAAGCTTGGTTCCCAACATGGTGATATTGAGGTACTGGAACCTATAAGAGATAGGTCAAAGTAATTAGGTCATTGGGAGCATTGCCCTTGCAAGGGATTAATGTAGTTCTCATTGGACTCCCGTTAGTTCCCAAAATGACAGTTCCCAGCCTGGGCTGAGGGTATAGTTCAATGGTAGAACACGGGCTTAGCACATGGCCCTGGGTTCAACAGTCAGCATTCACCAAGTGGTGATGTAGCCAAGGGGGTCCTCACCAGAGGATGAACTGATGAAACCACTGATCTTGGACTTCTAGCCTCCAAAACTGTGAACCAAATGAAACCTCTCCTCTTCATACATTTCTCAGCCTCAGGTATTTTCTTTATAGTAGTAGAAAATGGATGAAGACAGAGGCCATGACGGTGGTAAGGTGAAGCAAACAAATCTAGCTATTGGGTAGTAATCAACCTATGGTTGGTCTGTGTATGGCGGGGTGGACTCCTCCTATTTCCAAAGGATCTCTAGAGCAAGCAGTATTTTTAATCTTTTCTGTATTCAGTGCAGCCTTGAATCAGTGCCAGAAACCTATCACTACATTCTGCCATGACATGGTAGGATCAGTGCCTCCCACAGGCCTTCCTCTTATAGCAGCAGGCAGGGTACTCATTGCAGCTGTCCTCAGTAGAACTTATGCCATGTGCTATAAAGTTCTAGAATCTAAATTCCTTATTTCTTGACCTTATTGCCTCCAAAAATGCAATGATAGGGCTGCAGATGTAGCTCAGTGATAGAACACTGGCCTAGCATGCATGAGGTCCTGGGTTCCATCCCCAAAACTGAGGGGAAAAAATAGTCACGACATATTTTGTTCCTTGATGACATCCAAACCCACCTTCTTCCTCTCCTTACCCACCTTCTTATCTTTCTGTCTCCTCAATTAGAAAGTCACTTTCTGGCTGATACTTATGTTTATACGTCCCCTCACCAGGGTAATAAACTCTCACATCACTTTTAAAGCCAGGTTTAACCTGTTCAGTTTAAGAGGAGTGGTAGGTAGAAATTCCTGCCTAAGATTGTTCTCTCTCCTGGCTGGTAAAGAAAGGACTTCAGGAGTCACTCAGGACTTCAGGAGTCACTCACCTGGCTCTTCTACCACATACAGGATGGACTTTCCACTAGAGTCTTCATAGTACTGGAATCTGACGACGCAATCGTCCTCATTCTTATAGGTACAGTTGACTGCATCCTTGCCAGTGTCCTCTGGGGAAGGGAGAGGAGAATATGGAAGAATGAAAAACAAGTCAATTCCTAGAAGATGACAGCTTTCAGGACCTCTGCCACAGGACTTTTAGGAAAGCATGTGACAGGAAACCCTGTGTCTGATATTAGGCAAGATGCCTAGGTTCAAGATAGCTGGCATGCCTGGCAGTTGCCACTCACTGACCCTCACTGATGTATTTTGTCCCTCAAGGGCCCTTATTGGTTCTTATTCCTTCCTCTGGAAGGGACATGATCTAATAACATTACACATTTTGATTCAAATCCTGGCTCTACTACCTACCAGCTGTGTGATCTTGGGTAAGTTATCTGACCTCAATCATTCTCTCTTTCTTCATCTATCTATAAAAGGGAAATGATCTCCCCACCTTACAGAGTTGGTGGAGAATTTTATGCATAAAATAAACAGACCTTAACATACAGTAGGCATTTCTTCCCTTCTCTTTCTCTGCTTGCTCAATAATTCTCCATACTTTGTTTACACATCCCTTTTAGCTCTTCCATGTCTGTTTCTGATCTAGTGTGCCTCCCACAGTGTGTCGTTTAACTCTCCAACCTGTTATTCTGTTGGTGACACTGCGGTTACCCTTCACCAGTTGCACTACATCCTATACTGAGGAACCAGATGGGCAAAACTGATACACCATGAAATTAAGCAAATGTGCCAAGATTACCACTGCAAATAAGTGATGGAGAGGGACCAGAACATGAGTCTAAAAATACATTCCAGTGGACCTGAAGTCAACAGGCCATCAGTACTGGTACCACAGCACAAAGGAAAGAGTAAACCTTTCAGGATTTAGTTCTCAATGCATTACTCCCTTCTGTGGGCAAGTTAATTTTCTTGAGACTCAGTTTGCTCATTCACAAAATAAAGGTAACAATAGTACTATAGTTCTACTTCATCAGGTTTGGAGAAAAATATGTAATGAATGAGTAGGAAAGATGCTTTTTTAAATTTTCATAAGTTATAAAATTCATATAGGTAAGCATTTACCTTTATGATGATTTTAGTGACAAAGGAGGTAGGTAAAGAAATGCTTATCAACTAATGCCCACCTGGTCTAGATGATAAAATACCTTGGCATCTTAGCATACCCTTCCTCTGGGCTAATTATAGAAGCATAGCTCCCTCTAGAAGAAAACTCCCTCTTCAAACTCAATCCCCAAATCACCAACCTCACCCCAGCCCACTTCTGATATTAATCAAAAGGTTCAGAGATCTCACTCTTTTCCATAACACTCCCACCCAAAGCTGACTGCCTGGCCATCTCACAATGGATCTCACTAAAAACGAATTTCCTGCCTTTGTGGGCGATTGCTATCTTCAGAGAGACTGCATCTCCCTAGCACCACCCAGTGCCTCCCGGCCCAGATAACCGCCACATCAGCTGTGCTGACAGCAGCAAAGATCATCTTTAAAATCAAGATGAAGTACAAAGAAAAATAACTGCAGGCAAGAATTTTGCTCCCTGCTGTGTTCGCATTTCTGTCTTATCTCTGGGGAACTCTAGAAAGCCAAAAGTAGGGCTTCAGGATAAAGAGATTTGGGTAATGACCATCAGGGTGAAGGTTTTCCTCCAAACAAGCCTGAGAATTGCTTAACTTTTAATAAAGTGAACTAGCCTACTAGGCTAAGATGAGGCCCACCATAGGCAACCACTTCCCAGTGTGTGCCTCAGGTTTTTTTATCTGCAGAGTAGAGTACATTATCTTCCTTTCTTTGGGGATAGGGTGAAGTTAGGGTTGCCCAATTTATACAGCTTTACAAGTTACGCACAGGTTTTTGCTGGGTCTCTGTGCTTCAGGAATCAGAAAGGGGCACTCTGGAGGGGTCAGAGGAGGTCTCTCAAGAAAGTTAGACTTCATTTCATGCCTGCTGTGCATCAGGCCTGCATGACAGTTCTTGAAGCAGGAATTACTCTTCCATGTTACAGATGGGAGTTTGGCAGGTTCTGAGATTGAAGTGAAAACGTTCAGAACCCAGACGAGTGAGACTCTGAGGCCTGCTGAACTTACTAAGCTCTTTCACAGACTCAATCTCATTGCGACAGTAACGGGTGCAGGTATTTTCCTCCTGTAGGATTCCCTGGTCAAACTTCTTACACTCCACACATTCCCTAAAGGAGAGAGGACACGTCAATTAAAGCAAGGGAGCAGCAAGCTGAGGCATGTCCCAGTCCACCTCTGACCTCCACGTACCCAGAAAGCGGCTCCTCAGTTTAAAAAAATTAATAAAACACACACACACACACACAACCAGTAAAATCATCCTAAGGCCCCAAATAGTCAAGTGTGGAGTTCAGGAGGAAAGGTGTCCTCCTCACCCACAGGCTCCTCATCCGCAGCCAGAGGTCCCTGGGTCCTTTGTTAAACTTCATGTACCAACTAGGATATGTGAGCCCTACACACTTCTGGGAACTTTAAAGTCAAAACTTGTCACAAAATTGGGGGGGCCCAGGACAAAATGAAATCATTGTTCAAAAATTACTAAGAACTATGACAGCAGAACATGCAAAGGCCCTACTAAGCATGGGGCCCTGTATAGCTGCACAGGTGCATGCCCATGACTCCAGCCCTGCTTAAAGTGGTAAGAAGACTGGCAGAGCTTCGGACTTGGGGCTTCCTCTGACCCACAAACAGGTGAAGTTTGTACTGGCGAGTTGCCCCTGTTGCACAGTGTCTTCCCCAACTCCAGCCTCTGCAACTCCTATAGAATCAGAACATCAGCACCGGAATGTTCCAGAGAATATCTGGCTTAGCCTTCCTTTCTGAATTTGGGAGTGTTCAAGATGCCACCCTAGGAGAGAGTTTGCTCCAACTGGAATCCAGCTAGTGCTATTTGGCCCCTTGCCGTTACCTCTACCTCCAACTCCCCATAGTTTTCATTGGAAAGAGAAGAGAAGCCATTTGACAGGAGCAAACTCTTCTCCCTAAAGCTTCAGTGAGTAAGAGGTAGAACTTTAAGAACTTAAGAGTTGAGGATTCTAGTCCAGGGGACCCTCTCTCCCCACTCCCAATCTCCCAACCCTCTCCAAACTGCCCACTCACTTTTTAAAGGTGCAGGCATCCGGGCAAGTGGGACATTTCTCACAAGTGTCCCCATAGGAGCCTGGCTGGATGCAGATGCAGCTGCCACATTCACACTTGCCCCGGCCGCTGCACAGAAGCCCATTGCTGGACATGCAGGTGTCGGTACGCATGGTGCAATTGCAGTAGTAGCCAGTCCAGTCGGAGTCACACAGGCAGTCCCCACAGCTGCACTGGCCATGCCCTGAAAGCAGACAGCCCAAGAGGGTGGATCAGCTAGTGACTGTCTCACTCTGTGGCAGCCTGCCACACACTTCCATTCTGCTCTCCCAGCAAGACAGATAATAATCCTCCAGGTCAGCAGGGAACTGGCCCAATATCAGGGGGTACCCTACTCCATGGGGACACACTCGGCTCTCTAGATGTTCCAAGGTGTGGAAGGTCTTGGTCTGAGTCCCTACAGGACAAAGGAGTCTCGGGAGCTGAATTTCCCAAGCCTTCCACCCTTCTTGCCCTTGTATGAGGACAAGGTAGCTCTTCAGCCTTAAGAACTGGCACAGCACTGAGCCACAGCCTGCACCCACAGAGAATACCCAGAATCCTGGATGATGTGGCCTAAGACAGCAAAGTGACCCTCAGGCCCCAAACTCTCTCCCTTTGATCTGGCATAGACTGCTCCTTTCTCCAACCAGACGCGAGGGGTCTACCTTTGTCATCATTGTCTTCTCCCAGCTGGGTTAGACGCCAACATAGGCTCTGATTTGAATGAGCTGGTCCCTCCCACTAACAACTCAGCCACAGATGTCCGTTATTCTGTTTCTCAAATCGGCTACGTGCCACCTTGCCAGGTGAGCAGCAGGGATCTGAGAGAGCATACCCAAGACAGGAAAACCTCAACACAGCGGCCATGGAGGAAAGGAGATGCCCCAAGCACAGGGAAGAGAAGATACACAGAGTGTCCCAATACACAGGTGCATGGGGTGGGGCATCCAAGGGGCAGACAGAAGGTACCAAGAGCCCATGGAGTCGGCAATGGAGTTAAGTAAGCAGAAAGAACAGATATAGCCTACCTCACAGCCTGCTGAGGGCCGGAGCTCTTAACTAAATCCCACAAATGCCGGAGAGAAAAGACAGCAGAAAACAGAAGAAGATGAACGAAAAAAGAGAGATTTTCCTAAGGACAGCAGTATGGACGATCATTAGCAATGACCTTGCATAGCCCAGGGGCCTTCAACAAGCCTCTGCTGGCTCATCTTTGTTCCTCCTCTGCACTCAAAAGTTGCAGAAATATTCTCTACAATAAATTGTTTTTGAGGGGCTGGGGATGTGACTCAAGCGGTAGTGTGCTCGCCTGGCATGCGTGGGGCCCAGGTTCGATTCTCAGCACCACATACAAACAAAGATGTTGTGTCCGCTGAAAACTAAAAAAATAAATATTTTCAAAAATTCTCTCTCTCTCTCTCTCTTTAAAAACAAATTTATTTTTGAGTTGTACACCACAGTTCAACTGTCCCCAACATCACCAACACAACTTGTCCTTCTTATCCTGGTCCTCTTCTCAATACAGAATATGGTGCCTTGGCAGTGAAGGAGGGAAGCCTTGGAAAGCATTTACACAAAAGAACTGCATCTGTGTTCCAAACCGACCAAGGAAGTATTTCCAGTAGGAACAAGCGCCAAAAATAACCACTACAAGGGTAATAATGCCCAAGAACACTTGTTGAGCATTTAATATGGGTCAAGTTCTTCAATATGTTATCCTATTCATTTCTTATAACTCTGTAGGACCAAAGAGGTTAAGTAAACTGTCCAAGGCCACACAACTTGTAAATAGCAGGAGCAGGGCTCATACTGAAATCACTCTGACTTTAGGTCCCAAGTACTTAGCCTTCTGTTCAATACCATAAGTAATGACTTTCCCTATTTATATTCATATAGTCTTTCTAGAAGACTGCTGTAACATACAGAGAAAGTGGCTTGAACAGTAAAAGCTGGAGTCCAACTGGTTAAATTTGACCAGTTGACTCTGATAATTGGATGCTGATCCACAATGGGGGGACATGGGAAAAATGGAGGAACTTTGATGGGGCAAAATGGAGGGCAGGGTGGGGAAGAGACATGGGGGTGGGAAAGATGGTGGAATGAGATGGACATCATTGACCCTACATGCATGTATGACTGCACATATGGTGCAACTCTGTATCTTGTACAACCACAGAAACGTAAAGTTGTGCTGCAATTGTGTACAATGAATTAAAATGCATTCTGCTGTCATATACACCTAAATAAACAAATTCTTAAAAATTCTACCAGTTGAGGAAGAACAGAAAAGTCCAGTAACTGGACTTGACACCAGTGAGAAAATTCTAGATGAGAACATTTTAGGAATTCACATTTACTGAACTATTTGAGTGGATGTCACAAGAAGGGAGTTTCTCACTGTTGTGTTTATGGGCCTTGTTGAAGATGTTTCCATCCTGCGTGGTCCCATCCCCAGGCAACTCTAATCATCTCCCCTCCTCCAGGTCATCCTCAATTCAAACCACCCTTCCTCTATAGCCATGATTCTCCTTCTTTAAAGCATCGTTTCTCAAACTTGGTGCTTTTTGTTTTGAGGGACTGTCTGTACCTTGTACAATGTTTAGCATCCTTGGACTTACAAAGGCTCCATCCTGCCTAAAGGATTAAGTCCAACTCTTTAGCAAACACCCACGACTTTGACAGTGAGCACCACATACTTCATCCACCTGACCTTTTCACACATTAGCCAACACACGGAGATACTCATTTTCTCCACTATCCTTATTTCCTTGTGTTTCTGTTCAGGCTGTTCCCTCTTCCTAGACTGCTCTTTCACCCTGTGACCTTTACCAAACTCCCCCTCACTCTCAAAGGCCCAACTCAAATTTTTACTCACTCAACAACTTTTTTCTGATCTCCTCAGACAGAATCAACTGTCTGCTCCTAGGTTCTCCCAGCAAATCTACCTCTATTTCTATCCTTATTTTATGCCCATTTGCTTTCCTGTTTCTTTCTAAATGGTGAGTTCCTTGATGGGAGGGAATAGGCCAAATTAATTTTTCTAGTAACAGTGATTATCATGAAATCTGTTACAGAGCAGGCACACCATTAATGTTTGTTCACTTATCCATTCATTCATTCAACAAATAGTTATCAAGTTCATACCACATGGTGGGCACTGGAGATTCAGAAGTGAATAAAGCCAAGTCCCTTCTATCATGGAGCTTACAACGTGGCCAAATTTCTGGAAAACCCATGCATATCAACCAAGAGATGCTCTGTGTTATATTATTACAGTATTGCAAAGAGCTCTCAGCCCTGGTGGGGAGAACTATTGTCCTCCTAGGAATGTGTAGGAATGAGAGGGAGCCTGGGGTCAGGGGTCAGTCTGCTTGAAGGCAATCATTAACTCAAAATCATTAACTGCATCCCCCTGATAGTCATTTCACAAGACTTTAAAAGTTGGCTCCTAGAGAATTGAACAACAGCAGATGAGGTAGAGAGGGAAGATGGGAGGGGAGGGGTGGGGGGATAGTAGGGGATAGGAAAGGTAGCAGAATACAATAGTCACTAATATGCCATTATGTAAAAACGTGAGTGTGTAACCGATGTGATTCTGCAATTTATATTTGGGGTAAAAATGGGAGTTCATAACCCAATTGAGTCAAATGTATGAAAGATGACATATCATGAGCTTTGTAATGTTTTGAACAACCAATAAAAAAAAAAGTTGGCTCCTAAACCCCACATAAGGTGACTCATTCTCCAGAATTCTCAATCAGGAAGAAGCGTAATAAAAATCTGATTGTTAATCAGAGGAAAGGCAGGGGCAAAGGGGAAGTAACTTGAACTGCTCTGGAAGCCACATCACTGTGTGAGTAGGTGGCCCCAAGGGGTTGGAAGAGGGATGGTACTGGGCCTGAGCTACCTGGCACCTATTCTTCCAGTGAACCCAGGGGGTGCAACCAGTGTCTCTTGGCCACTGTGGGTCGCTTTGCCCATGACCCCACCACCACCCTCTAGAAACCACATCAGCATTCAAGATTCAAAACACACCAAAAATAAATAAATACGTAAAGAAACAAAATACAACTCAGCCACCTCTTTGCAGCCTTGGAAATAAAGGTCTGTTTCCCAGGAAGGATGGATGGGGAACATAAGCCCCCGCTGGCCAGCTGCCACGTATATCTGGAGGTGTGGGCTGGCAGAAGAGGAAAGTAGACAGCCTCTGAGTCTTGAGGTTGGGTTCCCTAGAAGAACAGGTGTGGTGATGATTCTTGTTCAAGCAACTCACTGAGGGAGTAGAGGGGAGGCAGGATGTAGTCTAGGGCAAGAGGCAAAAGCCAGCAGAAATATGGTCTCAGACAGAGACTGCCTTCAGTCTGAGCACCCTGTGGGGTCTGGAGCATGAATGGCACCACATAGCCAGGCCCACCTTGAGGCAAAGGGACTGGCCTTGCCCAATGCCTGAGGGCAAGGCAGTTCCTGTGGGTCCAGGGCAAGGCTATGGAGAAAGGACAGCTGTGGGCTATCATCACAGCAGCTACCTCACAGCAGCTGGGGGAGGGGTGTGACAGCCAGCAGAGTGAGGCCCCATAGCGTCCACTATGCCTTGCTTTTGGCCATGGCTCCTAGACTGGGGAAAGACCGACACCACAGTGGCTTGGCCGTACTCAGAGGCCTCGGCCTCCTCAGAAACCCTGATCCCACAGTGTTTCCTTTGTGAGGCAAAACAAAGTGATCTTTGACAAGATGATGTGCGAGTGAGGCTGGGAGTGGAAGTGGGCAGTCAGAGCCAGCGGGCTGACCCCAAGCCCTGGCAGAGTCAGCCCTTAAAAGGCAACCACAGTGTGGTAATGTCATAGGATTGGCACCCCTCCAAAAGACAGGCTAGCCAGGGTTCACAGGAAAGTCAGAGGAGGGAGACAGATGAGAAATGAGTGGAAGAGACGGAGGTAGGGAAGAAGGAAGAGAGCAGGGGAGCAGGAAGGAGCAAGTGTCTCAGGTCAGAGGGAATGTGATCACGCTCCCTGCGTAGCTGGACTTCCGGCTGACTCATTGTTCCACTCTGGTATGACCCAACCTTCCTTTGAGACTTAGCACACGTCCCACCTCCTCCATGAAACTGCCCAGACCTCCCCTATCCACAGGGAGTCTCCCCAGGGTGGAGTCCTATAGGGGTAGATTCCTGTAAGACTCCCCCAGGACAACTGACCTCTGCCAGATTCTGCCTCATGCTGTGAACTATGCCTAGGTACGTTAATGAAGCACAAAGCTCTTATTAACACCTCTCTACCCTGCACCAGGGCAGCACAAAACCTGCTCATGGAGGGTGCCTGATAGATCTGTGCTCATAACGCAGGGAGTGGAAAAGAACCTTGAGGTCTGGGGCTGTGACTCAGTGGGTATTTGCCTGTGTGAGGCATGTGTAAGGCTCTGGGTTCAATCCCCAGCACCCAAAAAAAGGAACCTTGAGGGAAAGGATGCACTCCCCAATGTGTAAGGCAGAGGCGCTGAAAGTGGGCAACTCCTCAGACCACTCCTATGGTAGGGAGGGAGCAGGCCAGGAAACCAGCTGCCATGATCAGTGGCCAGGCCCTAGAAAAATGGCCAGGTCACATCAGTCCTGCCTCATGAGCCCCTGCTTGCAGCAAAGAACAGGCCACAGAGCCAACAGCTCAAGTAAGGGACAATGACAAGCTGGAGTATAGCTCTGAGAGGTCAGGAATCATGCATGACCCCTATTTACCAGTGTGGACCAAGTACTGAGACACAGAGAAGGTGCAGGATGAACATGTGCCCCTGAGTCCTGTCACTAAGGATGTGATAACAGCACGGCAGGGTCCAGATGTGAGGCTGGCCAGGCACCTGACACCCTGGCAAGAAGTGGTAGAGGGAGGCTGCTAGGCCACCTGGGGTTCCCTGATGGATTAGACCGCAGTGCACGGAGGATGAGCTGTTCTTGCATCCACATTGGCAGGAACCAGGGCTTCTGACCCAGGCAGCTTTCTTTTGTGGCTTCAGTGGGGCCATCAGCCAAAGGAAACACACTCTGACTGGAATCCCTCTCACAGCGCCTCACACCAGACCAGGACCCAGAAGAGTAGCCGGCGTGCCCCTAGCAGGCCCTCTGCAGGCCTCTCCTGCAGCAAACCCCCGGCTCTCAGTTCCAACCTTCTCCCCTTGGATCTCCCACCCCAAACTTGTCCATTTCCTTTGGTACTTTAAAAATAATGTAAGTACTATTAAATAGTAAAATGAGCTGAAGTTCCTGCCTCACCCCCTAGTTTAAATTGCCATTATGGCAGGTGCGATGGCGCACGTCTATAATCCCAGTGGCTCGGGAGGCTGAGACAGGAGGACCATGAGTTCAAAGCAGCCTCAGCAAAAGTGAGGTGCTAAGCAATTCAGTGAGACCCTGTCTCTAAATAAAATACAAAATAGAGCTGGGGATGTGGCTCAGTGGCCAAGTTCTTCTGAGTTCAATTCCTGGTACCCCCCCAAAAAAAATTGCCATTATGTGTTTTCATTTTGTGTACCTGATCTCTCTCTCCACATGCCCCTCAATCTCTCTAATGTTGGTATCATTTTCCTCCAAGCCCTCTCTCAGATTTTATTGCCATAAGTAGGGGAAATATTGTTTCAACTTTAGTCAGAAAGGCAGTTATCAAGAATACAAATAATACCATGTTGGTAAGGATGTAAGGGGAAAAGGAATATTCATATACTGTTGATAAGACTGCATATTAGTGCAACCACCCTGGAAAGCATATGGAGAGACCTCAAAAAACTAGGAATGGAACCACCATATGACCCAGCTATCCTACTCCTTGGTATATGCCTAAAAGATCTAAAATTAGCACATTATAGGGATGCAGCCATATCAATGTTTATAGCAGCACAATTCACAATAGCTAAGCTATAGAACCAACCTAGGTACCCGTCAATAGTCAACAGATTAATGGATTTTAAAGAGATGTGGTGTACATACAAAATGGAGTATTACTCAGTCATAAAGAAGAATGAGCTTATAGCATTTCCTGGAAAATGGACAGACCTGAAGAACACTGTGCTAAGTGAAATAAGCCAGACCCAGAAAGCCAAAGGTGGAATGTTTTCTCTGATATGCAGAAGTTGTTCCAAAATAAGCAGGGAGTAGGGGGCAAAAGAAAAGGAAAGGGTTCCATCAAAATAGAAGAAAGATCAGTGGAGTAGAGGAAGGAGATTGAGACAGAGGGAGAAGGGATAGGATAAGCAAAGAACAGGGGAATTAATCCTACCTAAATTTCCTATGTATATATATGAATACACCTCAGTGAATCTCACCATTATGTATCTCCACAAGGCACTAATTTAAAAGAATAAACTATAGTGAAATAGCAGAAGAATCAGTACAATAGAGGAAAAACAATGGGAAAAGGAGGGGAAAAAGGGGGACTGAATTAGGGCAAATTATAATCCATGCTTTTATGATTATGCCAAAACAAAACCTAATGTGATATGTAACTAAAAAGAACCAATAGATAAGTAAAAAAGGAGTCTTTTTTATGTTTCTAGGGCATGCTGAAGAATGGCACAGATTATTCGTTCTAATCAGGCTTTTTTAAGGGCCAATGTTAATGTTAAATTGAGCATCTGTGTCAATTAGTTCAGCTGGTTAAACTCCAATGCAGATGAAGCCAGTCTGGGTCATGGATCATCACAGGAAGCAACTATAATCCCTATGTTCAAGTGGCCATAAAAACATACCCATAAACTAGTTCCAGCCAATCTGCAAATGTCTGCAGTTTGTCCACTGCAAAAAAAAAGCATTAAATCAAGATAAAAATCCATCTCCAGAGCTCAATTTAAAATTCAGACTGCTCATTTGCCATCTAAAGGTGTTGTTAGCATATCTACAGATAAAGTTTAACTTCTAGCTGGACAAGTACCCCAGGAGTGGTCTTTAAGGCAAGGAGAAACAGTTTGAGATTATTCGCAGGCCTCAAGATTTTAATGAATTTTGTAGTGAGGACAGTTCAGCACTCAGCAGGTAGAAGGACTCAAAATGATAAACCCCATATTTGTACCCAGGAACTCTCCTATGGTGACCCTATCCAGTAGAACTTTCTGCCCTGTTGAAATGTTTTATATCTGTGGAGTCAAATACAATCACCACTAGCCTACTGACAAAAGAACTAAATATATTTTCAGACTCAGTTAATTTTTTTTT